CCCTCTCTTTTACCGAGCATCTTACGTAGGCTCAGCAGTATACTGATTAATCTAATTAATTAATCCAACAAATTCTTTTCCCTATCTCCTATAGATGTTGTAGATACAGAACAGATAGGAAAATAACTCTCAGTATTTGTAAGAAACTCGTATAATCTTTCTATCAAAACCATGTAAGAATAGCACAAAAAAAAAAAATACAGTCCCTTGCAACCAACCTGAGCTCCATTGCCAGCATCCCGTATAGTCCCCCAAGCACTGCCAGGAGTAACTCCTGAGCAGAGAGCCAGGAGTAACCTCTGAGCATTGACAAGTATGGCCCAAAAACAAAACAAAAGAAAAAAACTAGTTGAATTTCACTTAGAAGCATAAATACAAAAATCCATTAAAATAAATCCAGCTTCCTATCAGGAAAAAAGTCAGTAAAACTTCTGAAAACCTATGAGTCTAATTCACTATAATAAAAATTAACAGATTAAAATTGAAAGCTAAGGGACAAAGAGACAGAACAGTCGGTAGGTGCGTGCCATGCACATAGCCAACCCAAGTTCAATCGGGGCATCCCATAAAGTCCCTGAGTCCTGCCAGTAGTGATCCCCGAGCACAGAGCCAGAAGTTAAGTCCTGAGCCTACCAGGTGTAGCTCAAAAATGAAAAAAAATAAAGAAATTTAAGAGTTTACCTATCTGATGTTCAAATTTACTACAATGTTAAAGAAATTAAGACACTGTGATAAAAATAGAGATCCTGAACAATGTAACAAGATAAAGAAAATAAAAATAGAACAACACTCTATGCTAAATTGAGTTATAATACATTTGCTATGGTAATTAAAGGGAGAAAGGATAATCTTTTTTAATAAATGATACTGGAACTGGGACTCTTTGAGGAGTGAAAAAAAAAATCAGCCTTTCTTTAATACTGAAATGTGAAACTTTAATGTGAAAAGTTAACAGAAGCAACATAGAACATCTAAAAGAAAATGCAAGTGAAAACCGTGCAAATCTCAGGAAAAGCAAACATTCTTTAGAACACAAAAAGCATAAACCACAAAAAAAAAATGAGAAGATAAGCTTGCATGCTGTAAGAGTTACTGTCCAGTATTCATACTACCATTATTTTTAAATGAGCAAATGCTGAAAGTTTCATTTCAGTATATCCATAAACTAGTTCTAATACTGTTCAGCAATAAAAAAGAACAAATCACTACTAATTAGCATAAACAGTAACAGATAAATCTAAAAATCATTAGGCTAAACCAAAGTCATGCACACGAGTATACACTCTGATTTCATGTATGCAAAGTTCTAGAATATGCAGAATACATATAATAACAAAAAGGAAACTTCTGATTGAGTAGAGCAGAAAGTAGCAAAAGGGATGAAGAACAGGAGAAAATTTGAAAGATAACAGAAATAGTCTGTATCTTGATCAGAACAATGTTTCCATGAATGTATGTATCTGTCCAACTTAATGGAACATGTACCACACATAAATAATAATCCAATATTTTAGACTGACTAAAAATAAATAATGTTATTAAGTCTGTGGAGAAAGTACACTTTAAGCCTAGTAAACTGGTCAGTTTCTCTCATAAGAAGCAATAAATAAAAGCCCCTTTCTTGGAAGCTGCAATTTCCTTAGGAAGGTGGGAGGTGAAGGAGCCACTGAAAACCGGCTTTAAATACCTAAGGTGGTTTTTCACTTTACGTATTAAATACTCAACACTACAAAGATTATACATAAATAATTTTGAAAGAAACTGTGTTTTTTTTTCTTTTTGGGTCACACCTGGCGATGCACAGGGGTTACTTCTGGCTTTGCAGTCAGGACTTACTCCTGGCAGTGCTCAGGGGACCATATGGAATGCTGGGAATCGAACCCAGGTTGGCCGAGTGCAAGGCAAACGCCCTACCCGCTGTACTATCACCCAGCTCCAAAGCTTTAAAAACAAATTGACAAAAAAATTAAGGTATCCCAACACAAACCTCCAGAAATAAGATGGAGTATGGCTCAAAACACACCAGAGCACTATGACACATGAGCCAAATATATCCCTACAAGAAAAAGAATAACACAATATTAATGGTCCGCTACCATTTGAAATTATCTTGTAATCTATTTGATTTGTTTAGGGCTGCACTTGGGGTGGGAACAACCTCCTCCCCCACTCCTACTCCTAGCATGCTGCTTGGGGAGTCCCTCGGTGGTGTTCAGGGGCCCATAAAGCGCTGGGTGGCAAACCCAGGCCTCTCACGTGCAAAGTATACACACTAGCCCTTTGAGGGAGGGAGGGAGGGAGGGAGGGAGGGAGGGAGGGAGGGAGGGAGGGAAGGAAGGAAGGAAGGAAGGAAGGAAGGAAGGAAGGAAGGAAGGAAGGAAGGAAGGACGGACGGACCTCTAGGGCCACTTGCCTTGTGGCCAACCAGGCATCCCATCTGGATCCCCAGGCCTGCCAAAAGTGAGCCCTCACCACATAGCCAGGAGTAAGTCCTGTGCACTGCCAAGTGTAACCCAAAAAAAAACAAAAATAAAATAAATAATTTCTAAAGATTAAAAAAAAATACCATGCCTCTACCATGCAGGAGAGTAACCTGTTTTAGTAGCTATCTCTCTTTTAACCATCATTTTACTAAAATACAACAAACCCTGCTGAATAGTGATTTAATCTACTTCAAAGACTCCAGAGGCTTACTTAGTCGTTCACCTATGCAGCATACTAGTTACTCGCCATTTGTTTTATAACTACATAATTTCTATTTTTGTTACTTCACTTTACATTCAGGAAATATACCCTATTCAACAATGTTTTTAATTTACTAGAGTGCCAATGACGTGGCTCAGCAAGAGCCCTTGCTTTAGATATGTGAGGCCCTGGCTTCAATCCCTGGCATTACAATCAATCAGTCAAATAAAATCCTCTAGAGACTGCCACTGTAAGAACAGTATAGCCAAAATGAGACTGATTCCAGCCTGAGCCTGGGACCACCTGACCCCTAGAGCATACCAGGTGTAGCCCAGAAGGGCTGCACCACTGTGGACCAAGGTCCTAGGAACCCCCAAGCAGCGCCACAGAGGCCCGGTCATCCTCAGCACCACAGACTCAGAGTGATACTTCATCCTCAGGCCCTCACAGTGAACTAAGGCCTAGTTTGCCAAATCGCCAGTAGGGGCCCTGACTTCTGGGCATCACTTAGAAGCCCCTGCTCTTCCCCCCACCCCCTCAAAAAGAATATAGGATCCCAAAATCTGTCTTTCTGTGTTCATCGCAGCATTGTTCACAAGAGTCAAAACAAGGCAACAATCTGTGTTGGTGAAGAGATGAATCCAGATGTGGGATATAACATATCCTCAATTTGTGACAACATAGATGGATCTTGAGGGAAATTATGCCACGTGAAAGAGGTCAGAAACATACTGCATAAACATAAAAAAGCCAAGCTGCAGGCCGGAGGAATAACCCAGGAGGCTCATGTACATTATTTGAACATGGAAGTCCCCCGAGTACTATTGGAGCAACTTCTAGTCCCCCGAGTACTACTGGAGCAACTTCTGAGCACTGAGCAAAGAGCAGCCTCTAAGCACAACTGGGTGTGGCTAAATAACCAAATTCACAGAAAAGAATAAAAGGCAGGTGGCAGAAATTGAAGGTTAGAAGGGTACAGTCTTCCAGTTATAATCAAGTTCTAGGGCTCTAAGGCACAGCACGCTGATTAGAGCTTATGCTGTATTATATACTTGAAAGCTGGCAACAGAGTAGATCATAAAAGTGTTCACCACAAAAAAGAAATGGTATTATATAAAGTGACATGTTGGCTACGGCTTCATTTTACAGTGTTTAAGTTCATCAAATCCATACATGTACACCTTAGACTTACAGAACATTAGATGTGAATTATAGCTCAATAACACAAGGTAGAAAATACTGAATTATTATTATGAAAGTAAATGAAACATCTATATTGAAATACTAAAATGACTTTCAACTCTTCTGAATATGCAGATAGAAAACATACAACCAAACCCAAAATATGAACCACAAAAGAAAATAACTGTCAGAGAGAAAGCATATATATATATATATGCTAATGTACCAGGAGGTGGCTGGAAGGACTAAAGGACATGATCTGCATGCTGCAGATCCAAGTTCAATTTCCAAATGGCCCCCATTGGCATGGCATGGTATCCCAAACACCAATGGAGCAACCCCCAAGCACCACACTGGGAGTAATTCCCAAATAAAGGTGTGGGCAGCCCCCTACAACCCCCACAAAAAGAGAAAAAAAAATAAATAATGCAACTAATAAATATCCTAAAACTCACAGTTACAAAAATAAGCTTGGTTGTAAAGAATACAACAAACTTAGCTACATATGAAACTACCAGAACAAATGCAAAAATTAAGAGAAAATCCCATTCAAAAGAATTAAAATAAAGAATGGATAGCAAGAAGGGCTGGAGAGATAGTACAGTGGGTAAGGTATTGCCATGCATGCAGCTGAAACTTGTTACATCCCCAGCACCAAATGCCCTAAGCACAGAGCCAGGAAGAGCCCATGAGCACTACCAAGTAGAGCCCAAAAGTCAAAATTTAAAAATGAATGAAATCATTGAGGACTAGTAACTTTTTAAATTATGAACTGACAACATAGCTGTTAATTTTCTAAGTGTCCAACAAACATTAAAGACAACCTGGCAGTCTACAGACATACCAAGAAGCACAAATATTATCAAGAGAAAATGCTTTCAAATTTAAATTTGGTATGGATTTATGTAAAACTAAAAAGATACCAAAGCCAAAACTTTCGTTTGAGATCACTATTTTACATAGCTCAGAATACTAGCGAGAAAAAAAAATATATATATATATAATAATTGAAGTGTGCTTATTTTGTCATTTTGTCAGAAATTCACACTCCCAAGAACATAGATAAAATAATCAAGCAATATTCTTCAAGCATTAGGCTTATTTGTATAACTGTTTTTAGCAGCTTAACTTACCGAGTACCATCTGCTTTCCAGCTTACTTTATATGGATTTTGCTCCAAAAGTTTAATATTTTGCTTGTCCATGGAAACAGGCTGTGCTCCAGGGAATCCAGACCTTAAAGAAGAACACTTTATTGCTACATGGCTTTTATCCATACAAAGCAATACATGTCTAAAACCAATAGTATATGAGTCACGGTATTATCACAATACCCTTTTAATTTTTTTCATTTTTAGTGATTTTATTTTCCAACTAAAATCATAGTTTATTTTCTTGATATTTTAAAAAATGCAATGTAAAGAGGGTCTAATATCACTATTGTAAATATTAAATATGAATATGCATGTGGGGTCAGATAAATAGCTCAACAAGTCCAGTGCATGTCCGGGTTCAGACCCTAGAACAGGGGTGCCCCAAGCACTACCAGGAATTGGCCCTAAACACAGAAGCAGGAATAGCTCCAGACCACCACCAGGTATGGCCCAAAAATCAAAAGCAGAAGGAAGAAAATATATATACATGACCAAATAGGTACATGACAAGTCCTAATCAGAAAATTTAAATCTTGGCTTAATTATCTTACATTATTCTAGATTCCAGACTTCTCCACCAGAATACTGCCAACTTGGCACTATTCTGCAGGGTTGGCAAATACCTACTTAAAAGAAGTCCAGAACTGACAAAACAGGAGAAATGTAGGTCAAAATTACACTGGCAGTTTGACACAACACTGAAATCAGTATTATTTCATCTTTTTTGTCTCTTGGTAAAAAGTATTTCAAGGGGCTGGGGCAATAGCACGGCAGGTCGGGCATTTGCCTTGCAGGCGGCCAACCCAGGTTCAATTCCCAGCATCCCATATGGTCCCCTGAGCACCGCCAGGAGTAATTCCCAAGTGCAGAGTCAGAAGTAACCCCTGTGTATCACCGGGTGTGACCCAAAAAGCAAAAACCAAAATTAAAAAAAAAAATTAAAAAAAGTATTTCTAGCTTTAATTGTGCTATAGGTAGCAGGCAAAAAGTTCTTTATTTTAGAAATGACATTGGACTTTTTTTTAACAATTAGTAATTTCATTATGTTCTAGCTGTATCAAAATTCTCTGCTATGGCTAGTAATGATTGACAGAAACAAGCATAAAGCAAGACCTAAGATGCAAAGAACTCTCAGCTGACTCCACCATGAAACATCTAGTACTTTCATGTGATTGAGTAAAGGGTGCAGAATATATTTAAAGCTAATTCTCCCAAGTTTCTGATTACAGAACAACTGGAAAATGAAACACATTCAAGTTTCACTTCTCCTTAATAAAATAAACTAACCCAAATATTAATCAGCAATTGTCAAATCAAAGACAAAAGCAAAAACACCAGACAGTACTTACTATTCCTTTAGGAAGATATTAGTCATTTGACTTTGACTCAACTGCCTAGTTACTACACCACCTATCTTGACAAAAATCTAATCAACTCTACTCTGACATTATGTTTAAGTCTCTGTAAACATACAGACTTCAAAGAAACAATGGAACTATGTCAACGTTTGCATTATTAAATGCTGCAGAGTAAGAATGAAGTTTATTGAAAGCTTGAAAATGTTCATTACCCTTCCCAGCCACAGAACTGATGACACTTCTGCTGTACCTCTCCTAACTTTGGTTGTGTCGTTACTTGAGTAACACCTTTAACAGTTACACCTTCCAAGAAAATAGCACCCTTAAAAGAAAAAGAAAATCGTCATTAGAATCCAAATCTACTTACAAAAACCAGAAGAGATACATTCCTTTCATTTCACAAATCTGAGCAAACACATGAAACAAATGAGGTCTCCAAGAGACTCTGTAAACTCTGCAACGAGCACTGGTTTCCTTTAATGAGGCAAATAATTTCCAGTACTCATACACTGCTCAGTGTCTGCATCGTGTAGTTAAGCATTCAACAAGCAATACTCAGTAATTACAACAGTAATAAAGACTTCCCTACCATTAACTCAGACCTAGGTAGTACTTGGCACCTTACAAACATTTTCTCTAATCCTTACAATTCTGCAAAGTATAGTGTACTATATTAATTTCACAAATCGTAAATAAGACATAGATTAAATGTAATTTATTCATTAAAAAATAGAATAAATAATAGAATTTGAATCTAGTCTACAATGTACCATTTATCAATGCTTCTCATTCGACCTCGAGGGCATGGCAGGGAGCAGGACAGTTGCACTGCTGATGGGATACAGATTTTCAGGGGGAAAGTATCGACAAAATATACCGTATTTCTGTAAACTAGAATAAGAGTGTAACAGTAAAGAAAGCATCTAGGTTACAGCCATTAGATATAGCAATATAAAATCTAAGAAAGTGGGAGGTCTGAGTTCAATCCCTGGCCCCACCTGGTCCCTGAAGCAATGCCAAGAGTGACCCCAAACACCACCAGCTGTGGTACAAAACAAATAAAAAGTAGTAAGTATTACTTATCGGTTAATTTTTCATCTAAATGCTTTTAACTCAGAATTTTGTAGAGTGTCTTATTGCATTTCCCAGCAAGCATATTTTTTAACTATCACAGAGAAGTGAAACAGATGGAGAATTTATGTATCAAATAAAGTACGCTCCCGGGAAATGGAAAAACTGAAAAAAAAAAAGTGGGAGAAGGGGTTTTCATGCTACAATTTCTTCCAGTCCATAAAATCACTGGCATAATGAAGAGAAGTCATAGTACTGTGGATAGGGCGTTTGCTCTGTACATAGCTGACCTGAGTTCTATCCCCAGTATCCCATTGGTTCCTGGAGCACTGCCAGGAGTGATTCCTGAGTGCAGAGCCAGAAGTAAGCACTGAGCATCATCAGGTGTGACCCAAAAACAAAACAAACAACAACAACAAAAAGAGTACTGGCATAAGTCTCAAGAAAAAAAAATCTATGAAACAACTCTAGCTATAAATGTAATGTTAGGCAATGAAAAGTCTGGTTTACAAGCTGCCGTGATCAAACTTCTGGCAAAGACGGGGTAAAACTCAAGCCACTACAAAGGGAAAAAGACCAGTGGCAGCACCGTTGCCCAGCGGCTTGAGGTGGAGCGTTCCTTCCCAGCCCTGCCCCAAGCACTGGCAGCCTCACCACTGGAGTCACCGCCATCACACAACCACGTGTGGGAGCGCAACAACTCAAACAGATGGGAGCACGGCCACTTCAGTGTGCAAGCATCACAGCCAGAATAGAAGCACCCCATCCAAGAGCAGGACTCCTCAGAGAGCCTGGCAAGCTCAGTGGGTGCGAACACAACAGCTGTGTGCAACCCCCAGCAAGCACAGTAACTCAAAGGTGTGTGAGCACCAGTGTGTGGAAACACCTCCCACCCCCTCATCAGAATGGCAAAAGCAAAGAGGAATTTTTGAAATTGTCTGTCAAAGGTAGAACAGGAGGTAAGGCACTTGTCTTCCCTGTGACTGCAACTGCCACGACCCTGGTTCAAATCCTTGCCATCATGTATGGGCACAGAAGTAGAAACAGACTCCAAGCACTGTCTGATGTAGCAAAAAAAAAAAAAAAAAAAAAAAAAACAGGGAAAGAAAGAAGGTGGCCACACGGGAGCCTTGTGGACAGCAGGTTTGAGCCAGGGATGGGGGCGGCAGGGACCTCATGGGAAGGGGGGCGTTCCGGTCCATCCTTCACACCTTACCGAGGTCACCAGTTGCCCTCCACGAGTGGCTCTCCGGCACGGCCACGACTCCAAAGCACAGAAACCAATCTCTTAACTATCTAACTTTTAATAGAAATACTTCCAGGGTTAATAAGTAAAATAGCAGAAATCCAAAACCGCGCGGCAGGTATTGCGGCCGCGTGACATCATTTAATTCTTAAAACCCAGCTGTAGAAAGCAAATCATTTCACAACGCTTTTTCAGCATGTCTGATTGGGGGGGGGGGGGGGTCGTAAACTCTAAATAATAATGGTGCATCTTTTATCGAAACAATGAATCTAGTCAAAGTAGATAGAGTGTTAACTAGAACTCATCTGCCTCACAGGAATTGGGAGGGGTGGGAAGTGGGGTTCTATTAGGGTTCGCAGTTAGAAATAAGTATTGGTAAAGGGAAATGTGTTTGATATTTACATGACGGAGACCTAAACCTGAAAGCTCTGTAACTTTTCCCACAGTGATTCAATAAATAAATAAATTATAAAAAAAAAAAAAGAAAAAAGAAAATTACGGACCAATATCTCTGCTGACCATGTATACAAAAATATTAATAAAATCTGGCAAATCAGAAAAAAAAAACAGACATATAGTCAAAAGAGCCAGAGAGAAAGGATAGGAGCCAGAAAAATAGTGTACCAGGTATAGCGCTTGCCGTTCATGTGGCCAACCTGGGTTCAATCCCCAGCAGCACTCCTTTTTGTTCTCCAAGAACCACCAGAAGTGACGGAAGTGATCCCTTAGCACACATGAAGAGATAGGAGTAAGCTCTGAAGCACTGCTGGGGTGTGTGGGGAGAGAGGAGAGAGGAGAGAGAGACAGACAGACAGAGAAACAGAGAGAAACAGAGGAAGAGAGAGGGAGAGGGAGAAAGAGAGATAGTACAATGGATAAGGTACTTGCCTTGCACACAGTCAACCCAGGTTCAGTATTTGATACCATACTGGGTCCCCTGAGCATCACCTTGAATGGCCCCTGAACACAGAGCCAGGAGGAAACCCTAAGCAACAGCCAGGTGTGGCCCAAAAAAACTAACATAAATAAGCAATAATTTAAAAATCTATTTTTTGTTATTGTTAAGAAATGTATGGGGACCAAGAGAAAGTACCTGGCCTGTGTCCTATCCAGTTCAGTTCCAGGAACCACACAGGCCCTGGAGCATCACAAGGTACAGCCCGGGGGGGCCCTGGCACCACTGGGGTGGTCCAGGTATCCCGGTATCTTTGGGCCCTGGCACTGAACCAGTGGCCCAGTTGGTAGAGAATCTCTAGGAGGACTTCAGGGTCTCCTGAGCACAGCTTGAGAACCTTCCTCCCTTCTCCCACAAAAAAAAAAAAAGTTCACATTTAGCCGACTTGCATCCTTCACGAATCCAGGGATCCTCAGTGATCCAGCAGACATTGGTCCTATGTTTTGTTTCTGATTCTGAATGACTCTGCTAATTATCTTATAAATTTTCTACTTTTTTTTTTTTTTTTTTGCTTTTTGCGTCACCTGGCTCTGCACTCAGAAATCATTCCTGGCAGTGCTCAGAGGACCATATGGGATGCTAGGAATCGAACCCAGGTCAGCCGCGTGCAAGGCAAACAACCTACCTGCTGTGCTATCACTACAGCCCTTTCTACTTTGATTTTATAGATCAAAGGACCAGAGACTACCATTCCTTTCCAATTACACCATCTCCTCTCTTTAAGAATCTGTGGAATGCTTTAGAACCACTTCTACCATTTTACATATAGAATAAATATAATTCCTTTTAAAATTCATTTTAAGAGAGAGAAAAATGTATGCCATAAAGGCATGCCGGGGGTGGGGGGTGGGCACAGAAGGGAAACTGGGGACACTAATGGAGGGGAAAGCGCACTGGTAAAGAGATGGGTATTAGAACATTATATGCCTGAAACTCAATTATGAACAACTTTGTAACTGCATCTCATGGTGATTCAATTAAAAAAATTTTATAAAGAATTTGTTTTAAGTGGGTAGGGTGGGTAGGTTCAATCCCTGGCATCCCATATGGTCCCCCAAGCACCGCCAGGAGTAATTCCTGAATGCAGAGCCAGGAGTAACGCCTGAGCATTGCTGGGTGTGACCCAAAAATCAAAAAAAAAAAAGAATTTGTTTTAAAAGAAAGTTCCATCGGGCATATGAAATTTACCCAATCACAAAAAAAAAAAAAACACCAAATGGGACAAATACATGAAGACAATTAATTGCACCAAGAGTAACAATAGTAACAGTAAAAGTAATAATAAATATATCTTCTAGGGTTTTACATCTATAAGAAATTCAATGTGATAGTAACAGGCCCAGGGATGCTGCTCAGGGGTTACTCCTGACACTGCTCTCAAGAACTATCCCAGACAGAGTGTAGAACATATGGAGTGCTCGGGATTAAAAGTGGTTGGCTGCATGCAAGGCAAGCACCCTAACCACTGTATTCCAGCTCCAAGTCTTCTCAGTTCAAACTTGACAGAAAACACTAAATGCACACTCACCGGAAGAAACGGATTTAGAGGGAAAGTTACTTCAACTACATGACATCCTGGTAGAACGCTAGTCAGGGGAAATTACTATTAGCTGTAATTAGCTGTAATCTCACAATACATTTTTTAAAAATCACAAATTTTCAATCTAATATCTATGAGTTCTTTGGTATGCCTAAGAAATGGAAACAAGATGAATATTTTGTTTTCTTTGGGGCCACACTGAGCATTGCTCAGGGCTTTACTTCTGGCTCTGTACTTGGACATGACTCCTGGCAGAGCTCACGCAACCCTATGGGATGCTGGGGATTGAACCCAAGTCAGCCTCATGCAAGAGAAGCTCCCTACCCACAATACTATCACTCCAGTCCCAGAAACAAGACTTTACATAACTGCAGCTTTTCTCCTAGAAAAAGCAAAAAAAAAAAAAAGACTCATGGCACTACTACAAATTCTTTCAGAAATAAAACAAGACAACCGTACAATTATAGCTGAAGGCAGCATTCCATTTTTGTAAGTCTAAACAACATATCTAAAGAAAAATGTAATGACGATGGTAATATTTTTTAACATTACCAGTTTTAACCGCTCTTTTCTCCTCTTGCCAAAGGAGGCACTTGACCCAGGTTCTGACTCTTTTTTTCCATCTTCATCTTCATCTTCATCTTCATCATCCTCAAAACACCAATCTGGCAACAGAGGTGGGGGTGGTGCTTCCTCTATATCGCCATAGCGACGAAAAAGTTCTTTCAAATAATCACCCTTATAAATTCCTGGTGGTCTGGCTTGAGCAAAAGTAGCAACTGCTGCTTCAATACTATGGGAAACAAACACCATGCAATTTTCTCACCACTCTCCGTTTACATAGACTAACCAAAACTCATTCACTACACTCAAAGTAAACAATGGACAAATTACAGTCCCCACCCCCTGAGGTATACAACTGTAGAGATAAATCTATCCTAAGGCCAGTTTTAGTATAGGTATATTAATTATAAAAAGGGTAAATTGTCATGAACATATAAAGAGATCTAAGGAGAATGTGTGAAGAGTTTTTTTAAATCCTTAATGACTGAAGTCAGCATCTAAAGGAGACTTCAGGGGCCAGAAAGATAAGTACACTGGCAGAACTTTTGCCTTGCACCCAGCCAACACAGGTTCGATCCCCGGCACCCCATACGGTCCCCTGAGGCCTTCTGTAGTGATCCCTAAACTCAGAGCCCTGAGCACAGACCAGCACAAAGCATAAATTAAAAAAAAAAAATCAAAGAAATGTGAGCAACAATATTAATCACGATCATGATCACTATCCTCCCGTTGTTCATCGATTTGCTCGAGCGGGCCCAGTAACTTCTCCATCATGAGACTTGTTGTTACTGTGTTTGGCATATCGAATACGTCACGGGGAGCTTGCCAGGCTCTGCCGTGCAGGCAAGATACTCTCGGTAGCTTGCCGGGCTCTCCGAGAGGGGCGGAGGAATTGAACTCGGGTCGGCCATGTTGGCTGCGTGCAAGGCAAACACCCTATCACTGTGCTATCGCTCCAGCCCAACAATATTAATAAAAATTTGAAAATGCTGATTTTACTTTCAGCAGACCCAGGCATTAGAGCAAATGCCATGAGAGGCTAAAAACATACATTGAGTCTGACAAAGGGGTCTAAGATTCTTGTACAAAGAATACAAAAGGCCAGGAAAGGGAGATCTAAAATCTCGATAAAGTAGAAAACCATTGAGGATTTTTCAATAGATGAATGTTCAATTAGATATGTAGTCCAGTTGATTCATCAGAGAAGGGTCTACTGTATAACTGACTTTGTAAGCAAATACAATAAACTTCAATCAGTCACTAAATAAACTCAGCAATATGTTGGGGCCAGAGCAATAGTACAGCAGGCAGGGTGCTTGGCTTGAACACCCGGGTTCAATACCCAGCACCCCATATGGTCCCATGAGCACCACCAGGAGTGATCCTTGAGCACAGAGCCAGTAGTAAACCCTGAGCACTGCAGGATGTAACCAAAAACAAAATCAAAAAAAGAAATTAAAGGGGGAAAGAAACTCAGTGACATTCCATTCTCTCAGGAATTTTAGATAACTAGTATCTAAAATTCTAGTATCTCAAGATCACAAATAACATGGTCTCCATAAAGACAATTGGCCACTTTGAGTAACAATTCCAAAAAGATTTCCTCAGAGCATTCTTAAGTATTCCAAGAGTCATGGTCACGGTTCTCCCATTATTCATCAATTTGCTCCAGCGAGCCCAGCAGCGTTCTCCATTTTGAGACTTGTTGTTACTGTGTTTGGAATATTGAGTATGTCACGGGTAGCTTGCCAGGCTCTGCTGTGCGGGCGAGATACTCTCAGTAGCTTGCCGGGCTCTCCGAGAGGGGCGGAGGAATCGAACTCGGGTCGGCCATGTTGGCTGCGTGCAAGGCAAACGCCCTACTGCTGTGCTATCGCTCCAGCCCGTATTCTAAGAGTATCCAGTAACTATTTCTTTTTCTTTTTTTAAGTACTATTAAAAATGGAAATACACAGGGAGCTAGGTCGTCCAAAGTTTGGGCCCAAGTTCAGTCCCCAACACTTATATGGACACCGAGTTCTGCTGGGCATCGTCATGGGGAATGCCAAGTGGGCTAGGACAGCCCTGGAGGTACACCATTGCGGGGACTCACAGCTCCAGGGCCTATGGCTCATCTGTCTAACCTGGGGGGATGAATATTTCAAGAAGGGACCATGGGACCCCGGAGCACTGCTTAGAAAAAAAAGAAAAGAGCAACAAAAATAGTAACTTTCTAAAGATGAATACACAAAGAAAATACTTTGATTATCCTGTAAGGTGTGTGTGGGGGGAAAATCTGGGAAAATTATACACATATGTGAGACCCAAAGGAATTCAACTCAAGTTGAACTAGCACAAAATACTAGGTAATGAATGGTATTCTAAAAATCATCAAGATCAGAAATGAAAGTCACTTAATTATATTAACGGCTTCATCAAAATGTTTCAGAATAAAATGCTAAACCTAGAAAAGGTTAACGAAAAACTGCAGACATTACTATGTCTCCTTCCATTATAACAAAAACAAATACCTCCAGTCCATCTTCTCCACCAAAAAGGCACATATGAGGAAACCAGTGCGATTGAAACCATGAGTACAATGAACACCTAAAAAATAGAGCAGTTTTTATTTAAAATTAATAAATCACTTCAGCGGTTCATTTTAAAACAAACTTGCAGTAAGAACTTTGCATCATTATATAAAATAACCACATTTTTAAAACTGTAACCCTCTCATAACTGAGTAATTTGACACTGTAGTTTATAATGTAATTTACAGCTCTAGCTAGAAATTTAAATGCAATATACTGATTTATTGGCTATCAATTGTGTTGAGTGCCTAAAGCTCTCTTTTATTTTACTTTTTTTTTTTTTTTTTTTTTTTTTGCTTTTTGGGTCACACCCAGCAATGCACAGGGGTTACTCCTGGCTCTTCACTCAAGAATTACTCCTGGCGGTACTCCGGGGACCATATGGGATGCTGGGAATCGAACCTGGGTCAGCCGCGTGCCAAGGCAAACGCCCTACCTGCTGAGCTATCGCTCCAGCTTCCAAAGCTCTCTTTTAAAACTAAAAGATTCCAAACACTTTAAATGAAGAAGATATTCTCATCAAACACACATTTAATTGACACCCACACAGGAACAGTCCTCCTGGTGACCAATGTCATGTGTTTGCAAGGTGAATGGTCAAGTCTAACAATCTAACAAAAAAAAAACCTAGAACAAAACAAAGAAATAAATGAAAATATAAACAAATCTGGAGGATTAACACTAGTTTAATGTTAGTGACAAAGTGGCCACAGAGTAACAGTGGGTGGGGCAATTTACCAGGCTAGATTCCAGCATCCCACAAGGTCCCCAAGCCCGCAAGGAGTGATTCCTGCGCACTGCCAGGTATGACCAAAGACTTAGAGGGGTGGGGGAAATGGCAACCAAAAAACCTTAAATACCTTAAATATGTGTGCGTGTGTGTGCGTGCGTGTATGTGTGAGTGCACACAGTATACTAAAAATAAGAATACTTGGAATGTTTTAGAAATCAACAGAATAGATACACAAACAAATCTCGAACCCAAGCAACTTGCTGCCGAGATGGCTCTGGACTTTGCAACAGGCCACTTTCACCGGGCCACTCCAGACGGAGGCAGGTGCCATCCTTCTACCTGCCCCCGAGGAATACCAGCGGCCACCATCTTCCATCTTCTAGAACTCAGCGAAAGCTCCAGGTACGGGTGGCGGTGGCAGCAAATGCCAGGCCTCACGGGACAGGGGAGGAGTCAGCCCTTATCCTTCCCCTTCTCACCGCCCTGATGAGACTCTGAGATGACACCCACATATGGCCACCATCTTCTTAAGCTCCTACATGGCCATGATCCAGAGACACACAAATGAATTTCGAACCCGAGCAACTTGCTGCAGTGATCTCTCCAGACCCTGATTATTAAAATTTTAGAATTCCTAGAGCACATAGCAGCGAGATGCTATCCATATCAAGCAATATATAACAAATTGCCTTTTCGGCAGGTATCAGTCAGTGGTGGTGGGACTGGTCTCAAAATATTGAAGGTAACCAAAGTAGAGAGAGTATTGTGCAAACTGTCTGCCAGGCAGGGGAAGGTGTGGAATGGGGGTCAGGGGGAGGGGGGTTACTGGATTTGGGTGGTGGAAAACATGCACTGGTAAAGGGATGGGTGTCTGATGATAGTATGATAGAAGTTCAAACATGAAAGCTTTGTAACTGTACCTCACAAAGAATCAATAATAAAAAGGGCAATGTTGATAACAGTTTAAAAAAAAAGAAGAAATCAATTGAATAAATCTTTACATTAGCTTGGTTTTTTTTTTTTTTTTTTTTTTGCTTTTTGAGTCATACCCTGCAATGTTCAGGGGGTTATTCCTGGCTCTGCACTCAGGAATTACTCCTGGCGGTTGCTGGAGGACCATATGGGATGCTAGGAATTGAACCCGGGCCAGCCTCATGCAAGGCAAACGCCCTACCCGCTGTACTATCACTCCAGCCCCTATATTAGCTTTTAATATTTCAAAATAAGGTATTTTCTTCAATTTTATTTTTTAGGATACATTCAAGATCCGTGTGGTTCTAACTCTCATGGTAACAGGGATGAGGAAAGGCAACTTGAAGAGACAGTTTTATGGTAGAATCTACAATCTGAGACGTGAATGACAGTCAACAGTGAATCAAAGTCCCTGTTTTCTAACTCGGTAACTACTGGGGCCAAAGAGCCATTTGCCAAGTTAGAGAAGAGCTCACATAGGTTTTCAATTCCTAGTAGCACTGAGCAAGTGACCCCTGAGCACAGAACCAGGCATAAGACCTAGCACTGCCAAGTGTAGACCCCAAACAAAAATTATTTCATTTTTTAATCACAAAACATTTTCAATCTCTCCAATTACAACATTCACTCCCAAAATATTTCTATACAACGTGTATTACTGGTCCTTATTTCATGTATGTGCTGATAATTTTTTAAACTAAAAATAATTAAGGTGTCTGATGTATCATCTGGCAACAAAAACTGACCTGGGGTGATACAAAGTCTACTTTTCCAACTTGGTGCTAATGAATATTCATAAGCTCATCTGTGAAAATATTAATGTATTTAAATGATGAAAATATATATTTAATTGCTGACTGCCCTCTAATGTTCATATTATCTCCCAATAATACATTCCACTAAAAAGATGCAGGTTCCTTAAGAGAAATAACTGACTCCTGGTCTAAAAGAAACATCATGCCAAAAAATAAGCAAATCATCAAAGATTAATGGAGTAATATAAAAGGTATAGAAACCAACATGAAGGAGCTCCCATTAACCTAGTATGGAGCAATTTGGCCCTTAAGAATTAATTGACTTAAATACATCAATTATATAAAAAGTTATGGTTCATACTCCAAAAGAATAAAATTAATCAGTCTCCGCTGGAGACTTCTGAGAAACCAACTCATTATTCTGAAAATTGATAAATGAAAGATTCAAACATTTTACTTGCCTTTCCATTACAAACTCCATTTAATAACCAAATTGTAGAGCTAAATTACTTCTTTACTAATTAAAGAATTCCAGCTAATAATTGAATAAATTAATCAGAAAAATCATCATTTTTGCATCTCCCCCCAGTGAAATACTAAATCAAGACAACTGTCATTAACAGATACTAAAATCATTAGTAGGGGCTGGAGAGATAGTACATCAGGTAAGGTTCTTGCCTGGCATGCAGCCAACCCAGGTTTGATCCCCAGGGATCCTTCTGAGCACCACCAGGAGTGATTCCTGAGTGCAGAGCCAGGAGTAGCCTCTGAGCACTGCAGGGTGTTGCCCAAAAACCAAAAAAATACAAAATAAAAATAATCAGGTAAAACACAATGAAGAACTTTATAACAGAACAAATCATTACCACCTAAACTCACTTTCATCTTAACCCCAAATAAACATTATGTGCTTCCTAATAAAATGTAAAAGGATACACACAGAACCATATTATGAAGTCTAAAACCTTAAACTGACAGCTTGAAGCACATGCTTTGTATACAGGACCCCAAGATCTGATCCCCAGTACCACATGGTCCCCGAACACTGCCAGGAATAACCTGCCTTGCACACAGCCAACACGGATTCAGTCCCCAGCACCCCATATGGTCCTCAAAGCTCCAACAGGAGTGATCCCTGGGAGGAGAAGGAGGAGAAAAAAGAGGAGGAAGAGAGACTGCTGTCAAGGATGTCATGAGATGTCTAGGATTAAACCCAGGGAACTAGAGCAATAGCACAGGGGATGGGGGGGGGGGAGGGGAGGAGGAGGAAGGAAGGAAGGAAGGAAGGAAGGAAGGAAGGAAGGAAGGCAGGCAGACAATGGAGGAAAAGGAACCCACTGGTGAAGAGATCTGCTTAGTATTACAGCATTACTATAAGCAGAAATGACGATGCTAAGAGATGCTAAGATAGTGCAGAAATAACTTTCCACAAAATCAGTGGCCTTCCATAAGCAGGTGAAAGAACTGCTCTACTGGCAAGAAATGAGCTGGGGCGGGGGGGGGGGGGGGAGCACGGGACCACAGGGGATACAACCAAGGGTCTTGATGTTTAAGCTAACTGCAGCTAAGTTACTGCTCCATCACTTCAGGGGGCTCAGAGTTTGGGCCACAATGCAAGGACAGAGAACTCTAACCTGTGGCAGGAATAAAGGTCAGGAGTGACTGCGGAGGCAGAGGAGCACAGAGCTCATGCTGTGGGCTATTCCTCTCCAAACACACCCCTTTCCCAGCAACACTTTAAGTCAAGCAGTTTCCCATCTCCTCATAACCTACATCCTTCCTCTCTGCAGCAAGATCATAGAACAAAGCCTGAGCACCACCTGCAGTAAAACAAAAGAAGCCAGCACAGATGGAGAAACAGAAAAATTCATGAGGTAACCTTTGTGAAAATCAGATGCACTTCTGAAAGAAAATGCCAAGTGCCCAGGGGGCAGTCAGAAAGACACAGAATTGGAGGAGGAAACAAAGACAAGAGCAGAAGCAACATAAAACATAACAACAACAGGGAATCTTGAGCTGGTGAAAAAGCTCAGCAGGTTGGATGGAGTAGACATGCTTTGCTAACGGGAGGTCAGGGTTCAATTCCCAGCACCTACTAGGCGGAACAAAGAAAAAGGTTTTCGCGTCTCTTAATTACTTGAAACCAAGTTATTAATTACTCCTAACCAAGTGATTTGTTTATTTTCATCTCTTTTGTTAATTTTCATTGCTTTTCTATTATGGAATGCTTCTACTGCCTGTTAAATTTTAAGATCTCATTCCACATGGGGCTGGAGCGATAGCACAGCGGGTAGGGCATTTGCCTTGCATGCGGCCGACAAGATCCACTTGAGTTCAATTTCTCCGCCCCTCTCGGAGAGCCCAGCAAGCTTACCGGGAGTATCTTGCCCCCACGGCAGAGCCTGGCAAGTTACCCGTGATGTATTCCATATGCCAAACACAGTAACAAGTCTCACAATGTTACTGGGCCCGCTCAAGTAATCTGATGAATAACAGGAGGACAGTGACATTCCACATGAGAATAAAAACATTACGTTGTGCTTCAATATTTGCTTC